AACGAACCAGTGAAACACCCAGAGGCAATCCGAGTGTCCTATGCGAGGCCTAACAGTCGGAATCACGCGCATGCTCCATACCCCGGCTCTATGCAAACATAACCACATAGCCGCCAAGTGCTAGAGAGGCAGGCAGGCACGCTCTTGCAATGATTCCGACTGCAGGGCCCATCCCCCGGTCGTGTGCACGGATTGGCACCCAGGACGACTAAGGTCGACGGACCCTCGTATTACTCCAAATGCCTCGCCAGCCCGAGAGCCACCAGAGATCTCGATGCATGACGAGATTGACAGTGGCAAAAATGGGTGTCGGAGACGAGCCATGAGAATGACTTACGAGGCCTGGAGATATCGAGTACACGGTAAGTACGTCGCGTAGGCTAGTCGGTACTTAAGAACAATCGCGATTATCGCGAGAACAATTATGTTCTATTTGGTGAACGAGAGGGGATATATGAAATGTATATATTCGCTCCAAGCTAGGTGGCTTACCTTTGTACAGATAGCGCGCACATGGTACTTAGTCTAGGTATCTACCTTATGATTACTTAGGTCTACTTAGTATCTGAAAAGAAAATAGATAAACCTGGAAAGAAATGGATTAGTAATTAGTACAACAAAATATAAAGCGAAACAAATATAAACCACATTGATTAACATTGATAAATGGAATGAATAACCAACGTTGAGACATAAACAACCCAACGATGAGACACACTCGAATGTTATACGAAATATTCGAATGGTCAAATAAAAATCAATAGAAACGAAAAAAGAAAAGCTGAAAGAAGAATAAATAATGAATACCTGTAAAAATAATTATTAAATTATATGAGGGTGGAGTGGACAGTGGCTATCAACTAGCCACCGACAAGAAGTAGATAACCCAACGATGAGACATAAACAAACCAACGAGGAGACATTCGAATATTATACGAAATATTCGAAATGTCAAAAAAAAACTGAAAAAATAAAAAATAATTAAATCTTGAAAAGAAAAAAAAGTTAGATCCTGAAAGAAGAAATTATTATTAAATTGTTTAATGGGGTGGGATGAGGGTGGGGTGGCTAGCCCCAATCTCACTTCGGCCCCCACCCCTCGCGCACTATGAAATTTTAGATGTTACAATTCCGAAGTCGAACTGACAAATAAGTTCTGCTGCGTCGCGTCGTCCCTTATATAGCCGCCGACCGGCCGAGTCCCCCCACCCCAATCAGAAATTTTCGAACTACGTCGATTTTATTAATTATTTTTCCGCTATAATAGCCAATAATTTAACAATTTTTTTACAGTTATGAAAAATTTACGTTGCAAACAATTTGTTAATAACAATATCAATTTGTTATTAACAATTAGTGGGATAATTTATAAACTTTTTGCAAATTGTATCTACATTTTTACACAAGTACATTATTGCTTCAGATAATAGCCAATAAATTATTAATTTTTTTTCTTTTATTATAAGTTTACAATATGGAAATTTGTTATTAACAATATCTACAAACTTTTTGCAAATTATAGGTACATTTTAACACGAAAATTAATTCATTAATTTTTTCACTTTTGCTATAAATTTATACTGCGAACAATTTGTTATTAATAATAAATTTGTAAATTTATAAATTTCTTCTAAACAATAGCTGCATTTGTACTAGCTATGGGATAAATTTCCCATGATACAGAAAATTCCTCTGACCTAAACATTTTCGAGGAACAATAAGAAAGACTAAAATTTCACCATGAAGCATGACCAACGCTGCCCATTTTCCGCAGGGCCGACGAATTTGGGTGTGCCGGCACCATGGGAGACGTTGGCCGGTCATTATGGACCCATTAGTCGTGTCAAGTGACAACCCATGAATTCATCTCGGATTTCTTTCGGTAAACTGTGAAGAAGCGACTTCGAGAAGCACATTACACCCCTTCTTTCTCTTCAACCTCCACATCTATTACCACGAAAAATTCCACCCTCGAGGAAACTTCGAAAATTCAACTCTTTCTAAAAAAAAGAGAGGAATAAAAAATAAAAAATAAAATTCCAAAAATATTATTCTCATCGAAGACGAGACTTATATAAATAAGCACGAAGACGAAGATTGGTTTTCCGAATTTTCTCTGCAGTCGTTGAAAAATTCCAGGGTAAATTGTGATAAATCGTTGGGACCGAATTGGATCCGAAAATCTGCAACGTAACGAGATCACGTCCCTTTCTCTTTCAGTGTTTTCAGCTTTTTCAGTGTTCTTTTCTTAGTCAACCACCCACGGCGAGGGCAGGTTCTCGGGAGAAGAGGAAAAGCCGGCGGATTTATGCGTTTTCAAAGAAAGGGAAACTCGAGCAGCGAGGAATGTGTCGCTGTTAAACGGGGCCACATGTCGGGGACCCTGTTGTCGCTAATTTCGGCAATTAACTAAACGTCTGTCCAGCTCAGACTTCCCGTCCGTTTAATCGTTATTAATCGTGCTCCACGACGTGAAAATTCTGGAGGAAAAAGGAAGAATGACGACGAGGAACAAAATTTTTGGAAGAAAAGCATTGTGTAATTAATTAGTAATTATAACTATTAATTATATTGTCGATGACGTGGATATTTTGAGGAAAACGTGACGATTATTTCTTTGAACCTTCATTGGAAATTTGGGAAGAATAAATAACGAAGAATAAAATTATCCCTTTTGTGGGAATTCGAATAATTAGTACCACGTACTATTTTTATATTTTGAGAAAAATGTGACGATTATTTCTTAGAACCTTGGTTGGAAATTCGGGAGAAATAAATAACGAAGGATAAAATTATCCCTTTTGTGGAAATTACTGTAATTAGTATCTCGTACCATTTCTGGATTTTGAGAAAAATGTGATCATCGTTTCTAATAATCTTTATTGGAAATTTGGGAAGAATAAATAACGAAGAATAAAATTATCCCTTTTGTGGGAATTAGTGTAATTAGTACTTCGTACCAATTCTGGATTTTGAGAAAAATGTGACGATTGTTTCTCATAATCTTCGTTGAGAATTTTGTAGAAAGAAATAACGAAGAATAAAATTATCTCTTTTATGGGAATTAGAAAGAAATAACGAAGAATAAAATTATCCCTTTTATGGGAATTAGTGTAATTAATATCTCGTACCATTTCTGGATTTTGAGAAAAATGTGACGATTATTTCCCATAATCTCTATTGGAAATTTTCCAAAAATAGTAACGAAGAATAAAATTATCCTTTTCTCAGGAATTCGTGTAATTATTTTAGGAAATTTTGAGAAAACGTATTAAATTATTCCTGCCTCGCTATACTTATTTTCGACGCGGATCAAATATGTCCACACTTAAATTCCTCTCAGCAACCACTTTTCGCTATTATTCATATCAGCTTTATTCATTTAACGATTAAAAAACAATTTTATACAAGAGTATCATTTTCCTTTACATAATACAATATTCTTTATGAAATTAATTCGTTTAAGGTTAACTTAATCTACCTATTTCACCAACAGGATTATACAATAGTAAAGAAATAAATTTCCCTATACCTTCTATTATGCTTTGCACCTCTACGTTTAATTAATAATTAATAACAAATTATCGTGTCTCTCATCCCCTTTCTCTTTTCTCTTTATACTCCGTTGCCAGGATTTCCAGGTTCTTCATCTTCTTTGCCGAGTGTAACGACCAAAGTACCTAATTTCGGCGTCTTTGCCGCATTATGCTGTGTCGCCTCACGTTGCCTTTGTAACCGGAAATCATGCTGCTGCGCAGCATTCCGGGTCGGGACACCGGACGTTTCGCGTGTAGATGGTGTCCCACTGGTTCCGGAGGCTTCTTCCTCGTGAATGGCGTCTCCCAAAACGTCTGATCGATCCCAAACATCTCTCCATCCTGAATCCATTAATGACCAGATTTTAATCCGAAAATTAATCGATGATACATAATTAACGAAAATCCAGAGTCAAAGAGCTGCGAAAGTATACTTCGAAATTACCTAAATTTCCACTCTCAAACTTTGAAATTACCGATAATAGTAAATAAAAAATTACTATAATAAAATTACCTATAATCATAAATATTACTAGAATGATATAAAAATTACTACAATGAAATTACCTATATAAATAAATGTTACCTATATTACCTGTATTACCTATATAAATAAAAATTACCTATACAAATGAATAAATATAGGAATAGCACAGTGAATCAATATTTTAACCAAATAAACAAATATATTTTAATAAAAATAAAATTTGCCAAAGAGATGAAAGAAACTCGAAGATAATGTTACCAACGAGTGAAAAAATTTTCAACAGTCGAGAAATTAAGGGAGATTTAGCACAGATAAATGTCAATAGATATTCCGACACTGGAATAGCTACCTAACTCGAATAATGCAAAGAATGACGGATTTCAAGAAGAAACTGATCAAGAAGAAACACTATCTACTCAGTGGAAGAACTAAGGAATCCTCCAGGATACGATTTGATTCCAAATAATTAAGAATGGAACTCTGTCAGGCCCCCCATTAGGCTCCTAACAGCCGTACAAAACGAGGTACCTGTTAGAGATTAGCAGAAATCTAGCACAATGCTCAAGGTATTGGATTTACATACAATCGTGACATCATCCACGTATTTGTGCAAACATGTTTTTTATTGTTATGTGATGTAGCGAGCGAGTTAGTCTGCCTCGAACCAAGTATTGTATTCGACCATGTATTCGACCAAGTGTCAAGAGAGAGGATACATCGTGTAAAGATCTGTGTTCTTCAACAAATAAAATATAATAATTGCTCCAAGTTAACCAGCCCTTGCAAACTATTAATAAAAGTACTATAGTACTTTTAATCTGTGTTTAAGAATAATACTAACAAGTGTTAACTTCGTGTACACACATCATCATCAGCATTGCTACATAGTCTAAGAGCTGCCAAGCTGCTGTCAGTTTCGCGAGAGCAACGAACGTGGAAAGAAGCATCCACGTAGAAAGATTCACGTAGCCTAATCGCGAGTATACTAAATCCCAGTTGGATCTCGGAGATCCGAGTTTAATTATCAGAGGGTAATCAGGTTTACTATCAAGGTCTGTGGCAGCTGCTCCATCAGCGTTTCCGGCAGGAAGAGGCCGAGCACTGCGGCGAATATGCAGCCTGCACCGAGGATGATCATCGGCAGATTGTACATGAGCCTGCTCGAGAAGGCGATGAAGGGGCTGAATATCGAGGTAACGTATCCCATGACGTGTATGAACGCCACGCCCTCGCCTCGAACCACCGTCGGCAGCAGTTCAGCAGCGTACTGCATCGCGATGTTGGAGCCGACGTTGATGAAGAATCGGCCGCAAATCGCGAGCGATGTGAAACCGACGCCTATCGGGATGCTGGACGCGAACAGGCTGAACATTCCCGAGAGGATCACGGCCGCGAACAACGTCCATCTTCGTCCGAAGACGTCCAGAGTGTAGATGATCAACAGTTCCGCAGGGAATTCGGTCGCGGAGGCGATCGTGAAGGTGGTGAACACGTCCATGCCGAGGCTGTCCAGGCACCTCACGTGGCCGTCGTACGACATCTGGATCACGCCCCATACTATTATTAACAGAATGGTGGTCCTCCTGTGGATGATCCAGATCAGGTGTAAAGGTTGGATTTGGGGAGTTTTGGATGAGTTTAGGTGGTGTTTGGGATTTGGGATGACGTTTGGGTTTTGGGTGACGTATGGCTTCTGGTGTCTTTGGATAGTTTAGGATGGGGTTTGGATTGTGGTGTCTGGGTTTGGGTTCAGTGTCGGGTTTTAAGTTCGGTGTTTTGGGTGCGTTTAGGGCTGTATTTGGGTTTTGGTGTCTTGGATTAATGTATAATAGGGTTTAAATTGAGGTGTCTGGGTTTGGGTTTAGTATCGTGTTTGAATTTTGGTGTCTTGGATTAATGTATAATAGGGTTTAGATTGTGGTGTCTGGGTTTGGGTTTAGTGTCGTGTTTGAATTTTGGTGTTTTGGATGTATTTAAGGTAGAATTTGGGTTTTGGTGTCTTGGCTTAATGTATAATAGGGTTTAAATTGTGGTGTCTGGGTTTGGGTTTAGTGTCGTGTTTGAATTTTGGTGTTTTGGATGTATTTAAGGTAGAATTTGGGTTTTGGTGTCTTGGCTTAATGTATAATAGGGTTTAAATTGTGGTGTCTGGGTTTGGGTTTAGTGTCGTGTTTGAATTTTGGTGTTTTGGATGTATTTACGGTAGAATTTGGGTTTTGGTGTCTTGGATTAATGTAAAATAGTATTTAGATTGTGGTGTCTGGGTTTGGGTTTAGTGTCGTGTTTGAATTTTGGTGTTTTGGATGTATTTACGGTAGAATTTGGGTTTTGGTGTCTTGGATTAATGTAAAATAGTATTTAGATTGTGGTGTCTGGGTTTGGGTTTAGTGTTGTTCTTGGATTTTGATGTCTTGGGTGCGTTTATAGCTGTATTTGGGTTTTGGTATCTTCGGTTAGTGTTGAATAGGGTTTGGATTATGGTGTCTGGGTTTGGGTTTAGTATCGTGTTTGAATTTTGGTGTCTTGGATGCATTTAGGATTGTATTTGGATTTTGGTATCTTTTGTTAGTTGAGAATAGTGTTTGGATTATGGTGCCTAGGTTTGGGTTTAGTGTTGTTCTTGGATTTTGGTGTCTTGGGTGCGTTTAGGGTAGTGTTTGGGTTTTGGTGCCTTGGTTTGAGATTAGGACAACGTTTGGATTATGGTATCTTCGTTAAATTTAGAATAACTCTTGTATTTTGGTACCTAGGTTTGGATTTAGTGTTGTCCCTGGATTTTAGTATCTACATTTGGGTTTAGTGTAGTGTTTGAGGTAGTGTACAGTGGGTTCAACATGTCAGATTTATGCAAAGTATTAGTATCTTCATACTATACATCGTTAAACATCACCTGTACACAGAATGTACATAAATGATAATTGCAGTACCTTAAACGTCTGGTCTTGAATAAATCCGCGATAGTGTGCTCCTCGGCAGCAAGTTCGTCCGCAGTTTTGACGCAGTCTTGAAGGAAGTCTTCGTAAATATCCTTAGGTATTTCCGTTTTATTTATTTTCTCGATCCTCCCGATGATCTTTGTAGCTCTATCGAGCTTACCCTTCCCAATTAGCCACCTGCATCAATCACAAAATACAACCTTCTGAAAACAATTTCGCACACTTCTATCACAACTTAAATTTATCTACGAATTATTTACATCCAGGGCTTTTCTTTCCTACATAAAATCGACAAAATTTCTTGACAATTTCAATATAAAGTGGTAAAAAAAATATAAAGTGGCTGAGAATTTTTCAGAGAGTAAAAAGTGATTATGGATTAAGAATAGACATAGTAAGAGAAATAAAATATACCTGACACTCTCAGGAATCAGAAAAGGTGCGACTATGACGGAACTCAATGGAACAGCCGTGACCAAGCAAAAGTTTTTCCAATTTGCCAACGCATAAGCTATCCAGGGTATGCTCATGGCGCCAACGGTGTAGAATATCCCGTAAGACATATTGGCGGTGAACGTTCGCCATCTAGGTCCCACGTACTCCAGGACTAATATATAGGCGATCACAAAGGTGTTGTCGTAGGCCAGGCCAACGACGAATCTACACGCGCAGAATTCTAAGAAATTGTTCGAGTATATGGTACTAATACCACCGACAAAACCCAGAAGATTCGTCATGACTAGAACCGGAACTCTTCCGGCCCTGTCGGCCATAGTGCCTAACACTAAACCTCCAACGATGGAGCCCACGAAAAATGTACTCTGTGCTACTGTCGCTTTGTATGCTCTGTCGCAAACCTGAAGAGAGAGATGTGGCTCAGAAAATGTGGAAAATGGGGATGAATTTTGGTAATATAGATAGATCGAGGTTTTCGATAATTTTTGGAAAAATTTTGGTAATATTTTTAGCACCCTTTGATACAATTTTTGGAATATTTTGGAGTGAAAGAGCGATATTTCGAATTTTCTACAATAAAAAATTCGATATTTTGAATATTCTTCAATAAAATTCCAATATTTTGAATTTTCTGCAATTAATAATTCGATATTTTGATTACTCTATAATGAAATTCCAATATTTCAAATTTTCATTACAGAAAATTCGATATTTCGAGTACTCTTTAATAAAATTCCAATATTTTGAATTTTTTCTAATTAAAAATTCGATATTTCGAATACTCTCTAATAAAAATTCCAATATTTCGAATTTTCTGCAGTAAAAATTCGATATTAAGAATAGTCTACAATAAAATTTCTATATTTCGAATTTTCTACAACAAAATTTCGACTTTTCGAATACACTCTTCTGTTAAAAATTTCAATATTTGAAATTTTCTCCAATTAAAAATTCGATATTTCGAATACTCTCTAATAAAAATTCCAACAATTCGAATTTTCTGCAATAAAAATTCGATATTAAGAATACTCCACAATAAAATTTCAATATTTCGAATTTTCTGCAACAAAATTTCGACTTTTCGAATACTCTCTGGTAAAAATTCCAATATTTGAAATTTTCTCCAATTAAAAATTCGATATTTCGAATACTCTCTAATAAAAATTCCAACAATTCGAATTTTCTGCAATAAAAATTCGATATTTCGTATTTCATGCAATAAAAATTCGCTATTTCGCATAATCTCTCATAAAAATTCCAATATTTCGAATTTTCTGCAACAAAAATCCGATAATATTTCTAATAATAACACGTCACGATTAACATAAATAACCCCTATGATCAACCACTGTCACGATTACCCATTCCTGTTCGGCTGCCACAGACATGTAAGGCACATCGACGTGTGTCAACTTAAATTCCCAATTCTCGCACTTCTTCAACGGCCAACTTTCATCCGGTTTTGCCGCAGCGGTTGCTTTTTCCACCGGCACATCGTACATCCAGCATCGCGAATAAGGTAAATGATGTCCCTCGTAGGGGACCGTTTTCGAGCTGGGTATCATGAAATCCCTCAACTTCTCCGAGGACATTCCCTCCACTGTCGGAAGCTTGCACCAATATTCCCTCGGCAGCACGGTGAGGAAGCTTTGCGTGAAGTAGACGAACGTGAGGAACAAGCAGAAGATCATCATCACGAAGAAAAGGAACTTTTGGTAAAATCCAAATTCACCTAATCATAATACACCCGACAATGTTAATTTAAATAATATCGATCAACTCAAATAATATCAACTCTGAAGAAAGAATATTTTAAAAACGATTTTATTTTCAAAAAACTCTCGGTGTAATTGAATATCAAATAATTATAAAATTATAAAAATTCAAATTCAAATTTTAATAGGACCTTAATTTTATTAAATTCCGGAAGAATTAAAACATTTTTTGCAAACTCGAATGAGAATACGTATAGTATGCAGGATTAGACGAGGTGTAACGAGGTTGAGTCGATTGCCATACTTGCCTAGGTATACCAATATGTCATCGAAGGTGACGGAGTCGTTTGGGGGTGGATTCCATGAGAACGAGTAACGCGAAGGCTTCACGGCAGCCAAACGCTTTACATCTTTCACTTCCTGAGACATCGAATAACCTATCGTTTGATACTCACATAGCCTGAAAAATTATGCGAGAAGTATCGAGAAGCTGCCTCGAGATAAATCGATTTTGACAGTCACGTGCAATCTTCATGCTTGTCTAATTATACTAACACAGGATGAGGAAACAACAGGTGAGAGAGTTCATGGTTAACATGATACAAATGAGAAAAATATGTAATGAAAAATTCTTTCATCCCCTGTATTTTTATTTTAATTTTTATTTCTTTTGGAAAAATTTTTATTTTTATTTTTATATTATTATATTATATTATTTTTATTCTTATCTTGTCTTTTAATGCCATAAAGCAGCCCCTAAAATGATTAAAAGGTACATCTTCTGTGACACTATCCAGAAATACTCGAATTTCCAATCACTTCTCTTAGATAAATTTTATTTTTCTGGAAAAATAAAACTGACCCTTCAAATTTTGTATTTTGAGACCATAATATTAACAATTTCACTTTTAACATCCTCCGAAAATTAAAAATAATGAAAGGGTACAATGGAGAAAGGAGGTAAAGCAAGAAATGATCGAAAACTTCAAGTACTCTAATTTCCATAAAATCATCCCCCATATTTCCACCATTAACCCTTCCCTGTAAACGCAAATTAATTCGACCTAACCCAACAACTAAACAAGACAGGTTTCCATCTCCAAACTCACCCTCTCAGCCACGGAGATAAGGAGATCGTTCCTGATCCCAGTTCTGCGACCCCGGTTCCACCCCAACTGTTTGACCTCAGGGGGTTGATGAAGGCGCTGCTCGTAGAAGGGAGCCAATCAGAGCAAGCGTTTAGCTAATGCGTGTAACGCGGCCCGTGGGACGATCTGACATGATTCTGCGCCTGTTTCACACTCCTCATCCCTTTCCCTCCTATTCGCAGACGCTAGGGCTGCGCCACCCCTAGCGATGGGTGCCACGTAGCCTCCTGAGAGTTTCCTCTTTTCCAGAGTTTCGACACGGTTTCTGGAGGTCAGTGACCTCTCTGGGAGAGTCTTGGGATATTTGGGAGAGACTTGAGAGGTTTGGGAGAGTCTTGGGAGATTTGGGAGAGTCTTGGGAGATTTGGGAGAGTCTTGGGGGATTCTTGGAAAATTTGGGAGATTTGGAAGAGTCTTGGGAGAGTCTTGGGAAATTTGGGAGATTTGGAAGAGTCTTGGGAGGGTCTTGGGAAATTTGGGAGATTTGGGAGAGTCTTGGAAGATTTGAGAGAGTCTTGGGAGAGTCCTGTGAGAGTCTTGTGAGAATTGAGAGAGTCTTGTGAGAATTTAGAGAGTCTTGGGAGAGTCTTGGCAGATTTGGGAGAGTCTTGGGAAATTTGGGAGATTTGGGAGAGTCTTGGAAGATTTGAGAGAGTCTTAGGAGAGTCTTGTGAGAGTCTTGTGAGAACTGAGAGAGTCTTGTGAGAATTTAGAGAGTTTTGGGAGAGTCTTGGCAGATTTGGGAGAGTCTTGGGAAATTTGGGAGATTTGGGAGAGTCTTGGGAGATTTGAGAGAGTTTTGGGAGATTTGAGAGAGTTTTGGGAGATTTGGGAGAGTCTTAGGAGATTTAAGAGAGTCTTGGGAGAGTCTTGTGAGAATTGAGAGAGTCTTGTGAGAATTGAGAGAGTCTTGTGAGAATTGAGAGAGTATTGTGAGAATTGGGAGAGTCTTGGGAGAGTCTTGAGAGATTTGGGAGAATCTTGGGAGATTTGGGAGAGTCTTGGGAGATTTGGGAGAGACTTGGAAAAATTCCGAAGGGCTCAGATTAGGTTGGGTTAGGTTGGACCATTTTGAAAGAGTCTTGGGAGAGTCTTAGGAGATTTGAGAGAGACTTATTAGAAAGATTCCGAAGGGGTAGCTTTGGGGTTGCTCGAGTTTCCTTTCATCCTGCTTCGTGGAGTTATTTTTAATTATTATAGGAAACTAGAGGGTTTCTCTTTGAAATTTGTAAGGTCTTTCACTTGGAATTGCAGTGAAGAATTTAAAAGAAAAGGGTCTTAATGGTATAAGAATAGAAATGTCTTATTCATACTTGGGTAATTGCAGAATTTTGTAACTGGAGGAGATTGAATTTAATTAAACTGTTAATTAACAATTTTCTAAATATTTCGAGGTTTGCGAAGGTGGTTTAGTCTCTATATTTTTCACTTCTTGATAATAGTAGAATTTTATCCTTGAAAAAAGTTGGATTTAATTACAATAGTGATTAATAGTCCTCACGATCTTCGAGAAGGGATTTTACAAAAATTATGTTTCTTTTATACTCAATATAAAAATTTTTAATAACATTCCACAGGATCCTTTGGTATTGTCTTCGAACAATTTTAAATAAACAATAATAAAATTGTTTAATTAGAAGAAATAAAAATTTCAAAAAATTCCACAGCAAAGAGGCTTAAATTAAATGGCGAATAAAAAACTGAGATAATTGAGAAAAATGATATTTAATTAAACTAAAAATTGCTCGAGGGTTTTCCTATTGAATAAATAAACCCAGAAATATATTAAATTTATTGCTAAATACAGATTTGCTACTCGTGATATTCAATGACATCCGATTCTCTCTTTCTCTCTCTCTCTGGGAGGCTGTCAGGACCCCTTGCTACCCCTTGCCAAGTCCTATTTCCAATTTACAGGGCCGAGTAATCCGACAATTTACATAACTCCATGGTAACGGATCTGGAGGAAGGATTCCTCTGGAGGAATCGAGACCCCGCCTTTTCGAGGGGTCGCCAGGGGGTGGATTCCACCGGAGAATACAAATGGTCGTAATTTAAGGTTCTCTTCATCCAAGACTGCTCTTTTCTCCGCGAAATTGGCGAAACGTAACTTGCCACGAGTTTCTCGATAATTTATTCGTGACCTACGACACTGAACCGGTTGATAGGGGTGAGTTTCGTAATTCTATGCGGTGGATAGTAATTTAATAAAATAGCTTGATTTAGGGTAGATCGTAAAGCCAGTCTGGTTTCCATGGAATCCTTATCGGGTATAATTATTGGGCAAAAACGAGATAACTCTTTTTCGTTATGTTGTTTGTAATTTATTACCGGTGTTTATTTCTGGCAAGGGTGGTTTTGTTGGTCCCGTATGGTAGATAATAATTTAACAAAATAGCTTAGTTAAGGGTGGAAGGTAAAATTCTGCTATTTTTTTCTCAGTTTCGTCTGTAGTGGAGAGAGGGTTAATAGGGGTGAGATTGGTAATTCTGTATGGTATGTAGTAATTTAACAAAATAGCTTGATTAAGGGTAGAACATAAAACACCTATGCTTGATATAAAATCTTTATTACGAATAATTATTGCGCGAGAATCTGATAAATCTTGCCACTTACCACGTTCGTAATTTATTCCACGTATTCATTCTATATAATCCGTGCAATAATTCTATGTAATAATCTTTGTATTTATTTCTTATATCGTTAACGTAGCAGAATTTCGAAATTTAAGAAACTCCAAGGTATATGGTTTTAGTACCTTAAAGTCTTAAATAATTAAATTTCGAATATTCGATGTCACAAATTTTCAAATACTTGATTTTCAAATTACCCAAAATCTCAAGATTCCAAATCTTCACGGATTTAAATTTCTGGCAATCTAAAAATTTCAAAGATGGAAGACTTTTAAATTTCAAATATTAAATTTAGAATATTCGATATCACAAATTTTCAAAGACACAATTTTCAAATTACCCAATAACTCAAAATTATAAATCTTCACGAATTCAAATTTCTGACAATTAAAAAATTCCAAGGATGGAAGATTTTTAAATCTGAAATATTAAATTTCGAATATTCGATATCACAAATTTTCAAAGACAATTTTCAAATTACCCAATATCTCAAGTTTCCAAATCTTCACGGATTTAAATTTCTGACAATCTAAATATTTCAAAGATGGAAGATTTTTAAATTTCAAATATTAAATTTAGAATATTCGATATCACAAATTTTCAAAGGCACAATTTTCAAATTACCCAATAACTCAAAATTATAAATCTTCACGAATTCAAATTTCTGACAATTAAAAAATTCCAAGGATGGAAGATTTTTAAATATGAAATATTAAATTTCGAATATTCCATATCACAAATTTTCAAAGTCACAAATTTTACTTTACCCAAAATCTCAAGATCCCAAATCTTTACGAATTAAAATTTCTAGCAATTTAAAAATTTCAAAGATGGAAGAGATTTTTAAATCCCAAATATACAAATTTCGAATATTTGATACCACAAATTTTCAAACAATCGACTTTCAAATTACCCAATATCTCAAGATTCAAAAATTCAAAAAATTCGAGATTTTAAATATTTTTAAATTTCGAAGGCTTAAAATAAAAAAATTTCGAAATGAAAAATTGCTATAATAAGAATGTACAATTATTATCCGATTTGCCTGGTATCTGTTATACAAAAGGGGTCGACTTCTCGTTAAAATCGACGCCGTTTCCGTTTCGTTTTAGCCAGAATTAAGTGTCCTGCCAGTGACGTAATTCGCGTTAAGTTTCCTCGTTTTTCGGATCGATCCGGCGACGAATCAGGGCGCAGTTAGCTAATGCGGGCTTGTGTTGGCACAGCCCCCGAGGGGGTGGCTCGTTGCTCCACTGGCGTAGTCAGGGGTGAATCGTGCCCGTGGCAACGATCCACGGAAACGCGACCCTGGCTGAGACTTTTCTCCACCATCGCACACGCACACACGCACACGCGTACCACCTTGTAAAATTACAATTTTCCCTAGAAAATAGCTCCCTCGTCGCGAGTTTGTTTTTTCATACATAATTTTGTTTCCCACCTTTCCTCTGTTTTTCTTCGACATTGCGAACCTAATACATTGTACGATATTACGTAATAATGTTGTTTCTCTCTGTCTCAAATAACATAACAGTTTCCCCTAGATACTATAATTCCACTATAATTCCTTAAATACCGTAGCCATCTTCGAGAAGATGACCGATATGTATTCTCATTTTTAAACAAATTTAATTTATCTTAATTTAAT